ATTTTACTTTGAGTATTGTCCCATAATAATTTATTTTCTAATATTTTTAAGTTGCTGTCTGTTGTTGTTATAGATTCTCTGTCCATAGAATTAATTTTAATATATTTTGTAAATGTAGTCATGTTTTTATAAATTCATTTAATTTTTTCTTATCTGTAAATATTTTTATTTCTCTTTCATATTTGAGGGATATAGGATTCTTTGTTGGGAATATTTTTCTTTCACTATTTTGAATATGTCATTCCATTGTCTTCTTGCCTGAATGTATTCAGTGGAAAAACATCTGAATTTATATTATCATTTGTTGTTTATATGTTATACTGTTCTTTTTTGCCAGTTTGCTCTCAGGATTGTTTCCTTATCTATAATGTTAGAAAGATTGATTAGTATATATCAAGATAATTTCCTTTTAGGGTCAATTCTTCCTCCCCTCTCCCCAACAATTTTATTGGCACAAAATCTAGGTATACAATTCAGTATTTCAGTCGTATCTAGAAGAGCTGTACAATCATCTGTACAGCTGTACAATCAGTTTTAGAGTATATTTTTCAATCTTATACTAATCATTATTAGCTCCCCATCCCACCCCCCAATCGTCCCTGTCATACCCCCAAGGGTATGGTATTAATCCATAATCCATTAATCCAGTTACTGTCTCTATAGATTTACCTATCCCGGATTTCATATACAGAAAAATATTTGAAAAAACAAAAAGAAGGCAAAAAAGCGGCCATCTAGCTCGGAAGAAACACAGCTCACAGAGAAGAAGCACACAAGCCTGTGTGAACACGAGGTGTTGAAGGGATCTGGTAGCAGACACCAAAGGGCAAAAACCATCATTGTGTGATCACCTTCCCCACATAAATGCTGAAGATGAATGTGTGCATAAGTAAGTGTGGTGAAGAAGACTGATGGTGCCCAGCTATTGAAAGATATAGTGTCTGGGGTCTCAAAGGCTTGGGCCTGAGGAGAAACATTCACACACTACCTAGCCAACCATCTCCCCTAATATGTGCCATCTTGATTCTGCACCTGTTCAGAGATGGTCAGTCCTCACAACACTCTGAGGAAACTCTGTCATAATCTAAACCCCTCAATGTCCAGTCATATGCTGGGAGCCATTTCACAGCAGATCCTAGTCTCCCCAATCCAGTTGGTGTGCAATGAGGCCTTCCCAGTCTCAGGCCTCAGAGGCCCATGTAATCTCCTGGCCTCCCTCTCAGCCTCTCCCCAATAATGATCAGTGTCAGGAGAGGGAGAGGGTGTTATGGACTCACCTCTATATTCCAAAGCAACTGGTACCTTGAGGATGTCCTGCCAGGATGGAACAGAATCCATGGGCTTTTTGTCCTTTTTCCAGGGTTATTTTTGGCAGTTTCTCCCTGCAACACTTTTGGCAATTGTTTGATTTTTTCAGAGATGTGTCTGGAACTCAGGCCGCTACAATCTTTCTGTACTCCAAACGCTTTCCTTGACAGAATGATTAAGAGCTACTCCAACTATGTAGCCAAGTTGTTTCCAGTCACATGTTTCTCCTGCTTTTTCGTTGAAGCTATTAGAACGGGTTGCTGTTTACCTGTTGTTTTAGAGGAGCCTAGAGCCATCTTCCAGAGTCGAAGAGCACTAGGCTCTCTCTTGGGGGACTCTTATGAGTTCTATGAACTACCTGCCAGTAGCTGTACTGATAGGATAGAGTATCGCTATATCTTCCTGTGGTTTCACTTTTACTCTAGGCATCCAGTATTCCATTATTTGGAATGTGAGTTGGATAGTCCTCTCATGTGGCACTGGTCGGGTTGTTGTGGACCCATGAGGGTGTCGCTTCACTGACTGATCTCTAAGTAGGCCTCATGGTGTTTGGAGAACCTCGGGTGGTCTGTGGTGTTTCCCTCTGCAACTGGAGTACTGAGGAGGGCGTGTGGGTATACCCTGCTTGATGTAGAGTTCTGTAGCTGGCAGGGGGAATTACCGTATATGGAGAGATCTCCTTGAAGGTTGGGTGGATGTTCCCACAGTAGCATGGAGCCCCACCAGTGGTGGGCAGGCATTTCCCCCAGCCACTTGTAGGACCTCGGGGTTTAGGCTGGAGATGCCCCCACTGTTTGCAGGGAAGAACCCCCTGCTGCTTGGTGCATGGAAGAGGACCTGCATGATTTCCCCAGCTGTGTGCAAAGCCAACAAATGCGGGTGGAAGCTCCCCCATTTGGGCCTTCAGAGTTGCCCTAGGTGGAGGAGAGTGGCCTGGAGGCCACTAGTGGCTTGTGAAAGGAAAGGGAGTGAATGGAGAGGAAAAAAAGAGAAAGAAGAATACAAAGTCTGGAGCAACAATTCCAAGCAAACTAACAGCCCTTCTCGCACACACACAACTAAAATGCACATAATAAACAAAAGTGAAAACAGTAAAAAAGAAAAGAAAAAAGAAAGCAACAAAAAAGGTGAACTGAATCTGGTGAGACTGTAGCAGGAGAGAAGAGCTAGAAGAAAAGGAGAAAAGAAGTAAAATTGAAAGAAGAACAAAAAGAAAGAAAGGAAAAGTAGAAAAAAGAAAGCAAAGGAGAGAAAATTTAAAAAAAAGATAGAGACAGCTGAACCCTGTGCTGTGCTGTGTGTAACACTGTTTTAGGGAGCAGGCTGCCCACTGGGTGGGCAGAGTTGCCCTAGGCAGCGGGTAGGGGTCTGGGAACCAGCACTGGCATGTGAAAGGAAAGAGAGGGAGAGGAGAGAATCATACAAGCAGAAAGAGAAGAGAAGAGAACAAAGAAAGAGTGAAGAAAGAAAGAAAAAGAGAAGAAAGAGAAAGAAGGGGAAAAACTCAACTGCGTTCACTGAGATTGGCTGTGATGGTAAAGAGGGAAGAGAGAGAGGAGGAAATAAAGGTCCCTGATTGCTTGAATGTGGGGCCAGAGGGGTTTAGACCCTGCTCCATAATGGCAGGTTGGTGTGCCCTTTTAATGCAGGGGCCCAGTGGTGCTGGGGGGAATTACCCTAGTTGGCGAGATCACCTTAGAGCTCTGATGGAGTTTTCCTCAGCAGTGCAGCATACTGTATATGGTTGTCACAGCTGCCTCATGTGGTGTACAGCACTCCCACAGAGGGCAGGCTGGAGTTCCCCTGCTATTTGGCAGGGGGTAGTGACCTGGAAGCCAGTAGTGGCGTATGATAGGAAAGAGAGGGAGATCAGAAGAGAAAGAGGGAAAAAGAAGAAAGAGAGAAAAAATATATAAACCTGAGCTCGTTGAGACTGACTGTGTTGGGAAAGATAGAAGAGTGAGTGAATAAAGAAAGAAGAAATAGAGTGGCAAATAAGGAGATAACAGACTTGATCACTTGTCTGTGGGGCTGGAGGAGTTCCAACTCTTACTCAAGGTAGTGGGGTGCTGTGCCCGTTTGATGTAGAGTTCCACAGATGCAGAGTGGGATTATTCTCAAAGGCAAGATCGCACCAGTGGCCAAGGTGTCAGTTCCCACCGTGGTACTGAGCTCTGGAGTTCACTGGTATACCTGCCTTGTGCTGTATGTAGCACTGCAACAGGGGCGGGGGCCGGGTTGTTCCTGCAGCCCCATGTAGGGCCCCAGGACAGGCAGGACCTCCCCCGCTGTGTGTAGAATCACTGAGAGGGAAGCTGGGCTTACTGTCCTATCTAGAGTGCTGGTACCCTACTCCAGTTACATGTTTCATGTAGCTCTTCAACCCATAAGTATTTATTTGGCTCTTTGAAGCTATAGTGTATATAAGGTTTGTAAGTAGGCAGAGGAAGAGGTGGAGGGTTCATGCTCAGGTAGTTTTCATAGGCATTTGGGATATGGGAAACCACATGAAAAACATGAAACTTTCAGTCATGATACCAGCCAAAGATAAGAAAAGGTGATAATGGACAGTACAAAGCAAATGTGTATATTAGACATAGGGAGTCCCAAGAACTCTACTCTCTTTCAAAATAAGTTGTGGTGGGAAGAGACCCTAGTCAACCACATTTTGGGGACCCAAGTGAAAAATGTAGGTAGGTCTCAAATGGTCATTACCACCTAAGGAATTTAAAGAGCATCCTCCCAGCCTTGCCCAATTGATGTTTTGAGAGTCAAGTATTGCTATATTCTCAGTCTTTAGGCAAGGAATTCGATACCAAGATCAAGACAAGAATTTACCTGATGCTGAACAATGAATCAGTAGAAGGGCATATATTCAAACTCATGTCTCCAAATTTCCAGTTTGGCACTCTCCTACTCACATCACAATGTAATTAGAAAGTGCCATATTCGGCTTGAGCTCTCAGTACAAGGATCTGGACAGTTACGTACACTTTTGTGGTTTGTTCACAAAATAAGGGCACCCCATTCGAAGATATCCTTACTTCTCTCACCAAGATATGTGCCTTGGGAAAGAGGCACTTTACTCCCCAAATATTCACAAAGGCACTATAAGGAGTAGCTGAAAACTAGAGAAAGGAGCTTGAGTGAGAGGGTACTGAAGTGAAAGAACAACACTGAGAAGGCCTCCATTCCTTGGCCTAGTCTCCTACAGAGGTTCAATTTAATGTTTGATGAATCAGTTTGGCATGAAAAAGACATATATAGGTCAATTTTCTTCTTCTTTTTTTTTGGTTTCCAGAGCAATTTATTCATTAAAATCTATTCAAGATGCAATCAACAGTTCTCCTGTGTGTATTGTGCTGATAAATAGACACTGAGAGAATTGAACAAGTTCTGCATTTAATAAGTCTGACTTCATTTTCACGACATGGTATTATACACGGTCATCTGTCAAAACATTTTTTAACAGATCTTAGTATAAAAAAGTCATAGATACTGTGAGCTCTCTATAAACTGGTGGATAGTTAGTTCCTTCGTTTTGACTTAGAAGCCTCAACTTCACCACAGAATAAAGAATGTAGGCCACATAAAGCATAATCTGTCACTCGTAAAGAACAGTATTATTTCTATAATTGGAAGCTTTCTGAATGGATGGGTTCAGGCCTAATGCAACTGCTAAAAGATGACTTAGCTAATAGACTATATGGAAATTGTACAAAATGTTAACTTCCATTATTAATAGCTTAAGTAGCACTATCTTACTTATGGCTATTAAAAAAAACTGTTTTCAATCCCCTAAAGGTGGCAGGTGCACAGAGCCACACCACCTTGTAGTTAGGGTCGTGTCAATATGTATTTCAACAGAAACTTTAGCTTTAGGAAAGAGTAACAAACATTTTAAATAATGGCTTTAATTGTCATTGTAAGTATATGATAAGGCAAACGTGTGCTTTAGTTAAATATACATCATCATATCAGTGATGCTGGCAAGGTTGAAGGTTACTCCTAATATGTTGATAGCCATAAAAACCAGTTTGTACATGAAACGACAATGAAGAAAACAGTAATCCCTTTGAAACAAATTTTTAAAAAACAATTTCACAGTGGTTTATATTAACAGTATGAATTTTATGACAATGACATAGATTCATGTACAGATTCAGAGCACCTTATGGCTCTCTTTATGCCCTAAAGAAAGCCATACGGTGTATTTACATTATGCATGAGTTGCACTGAATTGGGGGTGGGGGGGAAATCAACTGTCTGCACCCCTCAGATAGGGCAAACTGTCCTGAGGTGTAAGCAGCTTTAATGCCATTGTTCAAATTGTTTGCAAAAGGACTAGAGAATTAAAAAACCAAACAAATTATTTCTCTTGGGAGTGGAGAGGGTCTTTCATTTGCTGCTATAAACCAGCAAATGATGTTTCGTAATCAAAAATGGAGAGAGGGTCCACTAACACAACAGATCTATTTGAGCAAGCTAACCAGTACACATCACAGTTTCAAAAAGGAAAGTTATGTATTCTATTTTACAAGTCCCAACTAGGTAGTGTGAAAAGGACATCTATTTCTTGGCTTGCTTTGTGATCATACCCCTTGGTGGTGTTATAGGTCTAGTGGCATTCGGCTTCTTTTTCTTTGCTGGCTTTAAAATCTGAAAAGAGGACATCAGTATCTCATCCATACTCATCATGGCACCAGCATTGTCAAACTCTCCACAATAATTGGGGGCAGAAACAGAGTGACCAACTGCCTCTTGGCAAAAAAATTAATATCCATCTTCAGCCACCTGATGGGCTCTACAAATAAGATCCAAATCATGCTTATGAAGAAATTTTGCAACCGCTTCCACACCAAATGTGAAGGACACTCCTCTGTCATTTTCACCCCAGCCTAAGACATCTTTATTGGGGTCAGACCACAAAAGATTGCAAAGGGGACCTTGATTGTGTACATCAGTTGGTCGCATAATTCGCCCAATCTGCTCCATAGATTGAAGATCTGGTGATAAACCTCCATGACAGCAGAATATTTTCTCATCCACGATGGCGGCTATCAGCAAACAGTTAAAGCAGTCTGTAAACGTTTTCCATAATTTAATATTGTATCTTCTGTTACATTCATCATAAAATCCATAAATTCTATTGATGCTGGTACATTCATGGTTTCCTCTGAGAAGAAAAAAGTTCCCCGAGTATTTTATTTTGTAGGCCAGTAAGAGGCAGACTGCTTTCCCCGGTCTACGTAGTCCCCCAAGAAATCGGTAGTTGCTTTCTGATGGGAAACCACCATACTCAAAGAGTCGAAGCAAATCATAGTATTGCCCATGGATGTCGCCGCATATTTTGAGTGGTGCTTCAAGTTCTAGCAGGATAGGCTGCCTGAGAAAGATCTCCCGCGACTTTAAGCACCAGACTCTGATTTTGTTCTCCTGGAATTGGACATTCTTCCCAGGCTTGGACCCTCTCACTTCCAACAGCTGTTGAATGATGCTGTCAATAAGTTTATCTATATCTGCCATCGCCTTCCCACCACCTACCTTTCTTCAGCGGCGCTGCTGCAGGCTTTCACCTGGGACTCACAGCTCCTTCCCATGCCAGGAGCACAGAGGCGGTGGTGGCGGTGGTGGCAGCAGCCACGGAGGTTCCCTGCCAGCCGCCCCGCTCCCTGCTTCCTCCTTCGCTCCCCAAGGTCAATTTTCTTTAATCAGTTTTCCATCAATAAACGTACAATCCATATATCAGGGCCCAGTCATGAGCCTGTTTTTTTATTAAAAGATCATTTTATTGGAGCTCTTACAGCTCTTATAACAATCCATACATCAATAGTGTATCAAGCATATTTGTACGTATGTTGCCATCATTATTTTCTAAACATTTACTTTCTATTTGAACCCTTGGTTTCAGCTCCTCTTTTTCCCCTCCCTCCCTCATTCACCCTTCATGAGCCCTTGATAAATTATAAATTATTGTTATTTTCATATCTTACACCAACTGCTGGCTCCTTTCCCCCATGGATTCTGTTATTCATCCCCCTGGGTGTGTGTCTGTGTAGGGTGTGTGATCACTGCAATCAGTTCCCCCTCCCTCCCCTCTTCTCCACACCTTCCCACTACCCTGCTGGTATTGCCACTTCCATTCCTGTTCCTGGATTCCATGTGTCATGAGCTCTTATCTCTTTTCTACTCGTGTACATGTTCCAGTCTAGCCTACAGTGAAAGGCAGTACTGGGGTCATGATAGTGGAGGGTGAGGAAGCCTCAAGGAACCAGAGTTTGTGTGTTTCATCAGTGCTATATTGTTCCCTGGTAGACGCATCCGTTCCTTGTGACCCTTCTGTGAGGGGATGTCCCATTGTCTACAGATGGGTTTGGGGTCTCTGCTCCAACACCCCTCATTCTCAACAATATGTTTTGTTTGTTTGTTTTTCTGGGGTCTTCTGCCTGTTACCTGATCCCGTCGACACCTCATGATTACACAGGCTGGTGTGCTTCTGTTTTAGCAGAATTCTCAAGTGGTTGCAAAAGACAATGAATATGCAATTGATCAGAATTGTGAGTATAGTAAACTAAGAGAGCACAGAGCAGAGGACCCAGACAAGCTTGCAGGAAGAAGTTCTGGTAGACCTGGATTTCCTAAAATTTACACTAAACACCAAACATGGGTGTAAGGCACTAGCAAGGTAGCAGCTACTAAAAATAAGAAGAAAAATATCATAATAGCATTTGATATTTCACACACAGCGTTAGGGTTGTCAGGGAGGGAAAAATAAATATAGAACCTGGTTGGACCTCCCTATACTTATTATATAGTGTCTTTTTAATTACGTGCTGCTATAAAAGAAATACCACAAGTGGATAGCTTTAATTTATTTTTTACAGTTTATGAGGCTAACAGTCCAAATGTATGGCACTGGATATAGGAAAAGATAATCTTTCTCTGATGGTTTTGGGAGAAAGTTCTTGTTTTCTTTCAACATCTGTGAGTTTGGTGTCACTTGGAGATATCCCTATGTTGTGGTGTACATCTTCCCCTGGATCTAGGAGGTTCACAGCATCAGGACCCTGGATCTAAAGATGCACTATGTTCCAGACTCTTCCTCCTTGGTGGTACTGAGTTCCCTCTCTCTTTGTTCTCCTTTTATGTCTCATAAAATAAAAAGTGTTGCTGGCCACACCCCAGGAAATCTCCCCTCACATGTGATTGGCTAAACACACCATGGGAAATAATTAAATCATTATGTAACTGACAAACCACTGAGAATCATGGCCCAGTCAAGTTGACATATATTCAGTGTGAAATATCCCATCCATAACAAGTAGCTTATCATTTTTATTAAATATAATACACAGTGAGAAATGGGCATTAACTATCATAATATTTGGGGTGGAGGGCTTCTAAGTGATTTCATAAGTATGGTGAGAGAATAATACAACCATGATGAACCCCTTTCTTTATTTTAAAGCATGCACTATTCCTGTGTTCGGTTCCCACAACTGCCTGTTGTTCCATGTATAGATTCTGCATGAGCACAATGACTGACTAACTTACTGCCACTGAGTTGATGCCAACTCATAATGACACTATAGGACAGGGTAGCACTACTCCTGTGAATTTCTGAGCCTGTAACTTTTTATGGGAGTAGAAAGCACCATCTTTATCCCAAGGAGTGGCTGGTGATTGAACTGCAAACCTTTCAATTAGCAGCCCAATGTGTAACCACTCACTTATCCCCCAGAGCTCCTTTAGTATAATGAATTGTTCTGGAATTCCCATTCTTCTCAAGGTTATTCATAGGCTGTTAGGGTCCACACAGTTGAATTCTGGTATTCTCTGCTTTCACCTAAGATCCATCTGACATCAGCAATGATAGCCCTTGTTCTATGTCCCCTTCTAAATCCAGCCTGAATTTTTGGCAGCTCCTGGTCAATGTTCTGCTCCAACTCTTGTTGCATGATCTCCAGCAAAATTATACTTGCATGTGATATTAATAATATTATTCTATAATTTTCACATTCTATTGGATTACTTTTCTTTGGAATGGGTGCAGATACAGATCTCTCCCAGTCAGTTGTTCAAGTCGCTGTCTTCCAAATCTTTGCATAGACTAATGAATGCTTCCAGTGTTTCATCAGCTTGTTGACATGTTTCAGTTGGTATTCCATCAATTCCTGGAGCCTCATTTCTGGCTAATATCTATAGTACAGCTTGGACTTCTTACTTCAGTACCATTGGTTCTTGATTTTATGGTACTTCTTGAAATAACTGAATGTTGACTAATTCTTTTTGGTATAGTGACTGTAGTCTTTCCACTGTCTTTCAATGCTTTCTGAATAGTTCAATATTTTCCCCATAGAATCATTCAATATTTCAACTCGAGGCTTGCATTTTTTTTCTTTAGTTCTTTTAGTTTAAGATATACTGAGCGTGTCCTACCTTTTTGGTTTAGAAACTCTAGGTCTTTGCACTATACTTTTTTACTTTCAAGCTACCTTTGAAATTTTCTATTGAGCTCTTTTACTTCATCATTTTTTCTCTTTGCCTTAACTACTCTATAAGTAAGAGTGAGTTTTAGAGTCTCTTCTGCCATCCACTTTGAGTTTTTCCCTTTCCTGTCTTTTTTAAAATTAAAAAAAATTCAATTGGGGGCTCTCACAGCACTTATCACATATATCCGTTATGTCAGACACATCTGTATATATGTTGTCATCATCTTTTTTCAAAATATTTTCTCTCTACTTGAGCCCCTGGCATTAGCTCCTCATTTTTCCCCATCCCTTCTCCACCCTCCCTCCCCAATATCCCCTTGATAATTTATAAATTCTTCTCTTATTTTCATGTCTTACACCGACTGCTGTCTCACTTCACCCTCTTTTTTGCTGTCCACCCCCCTGGGAGAGGGGGGGCATACATTGATCATTGTGATTGCTCCCCCTTACTCCCCCACCCCTTACCCTACTAGTATCGCTCCTCCCCTTATTGGTCCTGAGGGGTTTATCTGTTCTGGATTCCCTGTGCTGTGGGTTCTTATCTGTACCAGTATACATATTCTGGTCTTGCCAGAATTGTAAGATAGAATTGGGGTCATGGTGGGTGGGGGGGAAGCATTAAAGAACTAGAGGAAGGTTGTATGTTTCCTCAGTGCTATACTGAACCCTGTCTGGCTTGTCTTTTCCTTGTGGCCCTTCTGAGAGGGGGTGTCCAATTGACTACTAATGGATTTTGGGTCTCTACTATGCCCTCCCCGTCATCCCCATTGATATGATTTTTGTTTGTTTGTTTTGTTTGGGGTTTTTGATGCCTGATACCTAACCCTATCAACACCTCATGATCACACAAGCTTCTTCCATGTGGACTTATTATTTTCTTTCTTCATGTATGATGTCCTTGATGCCATCTCACAGCTCATGTGATCCTCTATCATTAGTTTTCATTTTGTCAGTTCTGTTCAGATCTACTCAAGGGCAAATCTTGGCTCTCATGGACTTGCTTTAATTTTGCTCATCTTCAACCTGAATTTGCATATGAGTGATTGATAGTCTTTTCCTCATTAGGCCCCTGTCTCATTTTAACAACTAAGATTGAGTGTCTACATTGTAGTCATTTTGATTGCAGTGTATTCCATCTAGAAAAGTCTTTTGTGTTTGAGATAGTTTATTGTGCCAGCTTGGCCGATAAACAGAAGTGGGATTAACTGTAGGGCAGAGAGATAAATGGCTTGGTGAGCCTCGCCTTTCTTATTTCTTGCTCTTTGATCATCAGACCAGTGTGCGGCTGCCTTGCTTGTTCTGTGCCTCAATTTACAGGTTACACTACCTGTGGGACGCCTAGCCTGTGAACTGTGTCACTGTAAGTTGAGGTCCCTTTAAGACATCTCTGGAGCTGGGGACTGGCGGTTGGTGACCTGGCTGACAGTTGGTGACCTACCTTGTGATTGGCTGCTGTGCTGAGATAGCCTAGCTCTCTCTATATATAGAGGAAGAGCTGGCAGCAGACTAGTCTGAAAGGACTGCTAGTGTCTCATAACTCTCTCTCATGTGAGTGAGTTGCACTGAGCCATTTGTACTGCTTTATAATTTAACTGTTCATTTCTTGTATTATATTTCTATCTGTATATAATTTAACAGTTCATTTCTTGTGTTATATATCCAAATATCTTTATAAATAAATATATTAAATTATCAGCAATTTGGTTTTATCGCTCTAGAGAACCCTGTCTAACACAGTGTTGTTGGAAAAAGATATTCGTGAGGAAGAAGTCATTGGTCTTGCAAAATTGTATCATGAGATCTCAGATCGGTTCTACCACCAAGGATGTAATTCCAACTACTATTTCTTCTTTTGCATTTTAATCACCAATAATTATCAATGCATCTTGATTGCATGTTTGATTAATTTCAGATGGAAAACATTGGTATCATTCATCAGTTTTTGCATTATTAGCTTTAGTGGTTGGTACATAAATTTGAACAATATTTGTATTGACCGGATCCCGCATATGCAGATAAACATTATCCTATCACAGCTTAGTGAAGTTATTTCTATTCATTTGACTTTGTTGTGGTCCAATCAGAGTTCCCAGAGTCACTTCTTTGTCCAAATCTCCCGCACCTCTTTTCAAGGACATCCTAGAACTCCTTGCAATACAAAGAAAAGATTAATATCTGAGACAGCAGGGAACTTGGGGATCCTGCCCCAGATCTTCTGATTTGTAATTGATCCCTTAACTCTTCTTCAAACAGGTTATTAAATAAATTGATTCCCAAATGTGTATAGTTATTGATTCATTATGGGACACAGAATTGAAGAGATAAAGATGGACTGGGAGCAGGAACCAAAAATGAACCACTCAGTGATATTATGGACCACACCTGTATCCCCATTCCTCAGTCCTTGGAATGACTTAGATACTGAGTGACCATTTAGAAAATGGATGTTCCACATTAATAATGTGTTTCTAAGTATACATTCATTACTAGTCTAAAAGCTTCTAAAGGAGAGATACTGAGACCACACTCCAAGCAATGTGTCTAGGGTAAAGGAGAATAAGTTTACTGACTGCATGGAAGATGGGGAAATAATAACCTTTCTGAGTGAGGGGAAAGACATGCAGAGATACACACAGACACAAAGATACAATCCCCAGCCCATGTTCTAACTGCTTGTAGAATATAATGTATAAACTATATTGGCAGAGGTTCAAATAACAGGGGAATAGAGCTGGACTCTAGAACACAAAAGGTGGAAGGAAGGAGCAAGTCTTTTCTGAGTATGATAGAGGCATAGACCATAGAAGAAAGAACCCTAGCTTCCTGAAGGGTGATGGGTGATGATGAAAAGATGGTCTAGGTTAATCTGAGACTTAGGAAAGAGTCATTATAGAGGTGATATAAGGCAATGAGTTTCTCAATGTGTCCCAGAATCAAGTACCAAGAACAAGGCAAGGCATGACATCTTGTTGAAGATAAGATAGGTAAAAGTTGAGTTGTAGATGTTTGGAAGCAGGGTGTGTGGTAGGGGCTTCTTCTTGGGATCCTACTTTGGCAAACTCCCTGAACTGCTGTTGCTCCTGCTTGGATCTGACCCAGGCATCTCTCCTACATCAAGATCTTTGATGTGGGTACCCGCTACATGGTGAACCGAGTGCAGGACCACATCCAGAGCCGCATGGTCTACTACCTCATGAACATCCACGTCACACCCCGCTCCATCTACCTATGCCGACATGGTGAGAGTGAACTCAACCTCAGAGGCCGAATTGGAGGTGACTCTGGACTCTCAGCACGGGGCAAGCAGGTAGGAAAGACCTTCGGCACCCAGATGAGATACAAGCAGATTCTGGTCACTCCCTCTCTTCTATCCCATCAGTCACTCAGTCTTGATTATCCATTGAATGACTCTTATGTGCCAACTGCATCTGAAAGTCAATAGCTTAGTCGTGACACAGAAGACCTGCCCAAGTCTGCTTTTCCAGTCCCATTACAATGATACCCTCTGTACCTGCCTGACTGGTGACTCATTTTTGTCACAACTCTGTTTTGGCTTATGCAGGCCTCCCGCCCTTCTCCCTAGGGTGTCCGTCTCTGTTCCTTCTGTCAGCTTGTATATACAGATGTCCTGAAGTGCCTTACCCTTAAATGCATCATCTTTTTAAAGACTCAGAACTGATGATACACTCTTCACTCCCACTCCAGCTATAGGTCCACACACTATTATCACTGTCTCCCACCAGTTACTGCCTCCTCCTGTTTTCCTTCTCCATCCTCTATTCCAAGGCCCAGCTTCTGCTCCAAGACCTGATCAAGAAAGCCTTTCCTGAGCTCTCCTCTCCATCTATCACCTGGCTCTGACTTCCTCCCTCCTAGATGTATCTCATCACTCATTCTACCATAGTATAGGTTTCTTCTTTCAAAATGAGCATAGTGACTTGTCCATAACAGATGATGGTTAAACCACAGGAATCAATTAACCCTATCCCTGGGTCTTGGATGGTATTATTTTTAGTGAGAGGATCACTAGAAGGTGAGAATGGACTATAGAAGGCTGTGAGTTCCTTCATCTATTGGACAACTACTATGCACAGTAATGCATGTGTGGTTTCATTTTAATCTTTACAATGGCTCTGTGCTGTGGGTATTTCAGATTTTATAGAAGACAAACCCAAGGCCAAGAGAGGAGCAGAAAGTGACCCCAGGTCACACAGTTGGTAAAAGACAGAGACAGGACTGAAAACCAATACTTACTGCCTGCCCATTGCCACATTCCCCACTGTAGATTGCGTAGTGTCTCAGTTTGAGAAGGGCCCAGTCCGGTCCTCATGGTTCCCTTTCTGTCACCTTCAGACTGGCATTCTCCATGCATGGGAGTTGCTAAGCACTGACTCTCATCTCACATGCTCCTCAGAGTAGAGCCAGAGTCCAGGAGAGGCGCTATCCCGACTCATGGCACTACCTCAGGGGTCTTTTGTTTTCTGTCTGGCCCTGATTGGAGCAGGCCACAGTGCCCTGCCTGCATAGCTCAAGGCCACGTTTTTATCTATGGCAACTTCCCCCTGACATGCATTTCTCAGACACAAGAAAACACATGTACAACATTCACCTAGCTCCAATCTTCATTCCTATGGATACAGTGTACCACACATGGTTCACACGTTATCATCAATGGTCACCTCTAAGCACAGCAGCTATTACTTGTGCAGTACTTTTTGTATGCTAACGAGTGCTCTGGGTGGTCCCATATAATAGAGCCTCACAGAGACAAGGCTATGTAAACTAATGCTATTATTATCTTACAGGCAGGAGGTACAGGACATAATCGTTGTTATTATAGCCCATCAAATCATTTCCAACTCATAGCAACCATATATGACAGAAAATAACTGCCCCATGGGGTTTCCCAGTCTGTAGTTTTATACCAAGTCTTTTGTGCCAAGAAAATTGCCCAATCTTTTCTCTGGTCAAGTTCAAAACTCCAATTTTTTGTTTAGCAGCTGGGGCTCTTAACCACTGAGCAACCAGGGATTTTTTGAATATAGAGAGGGGCAAGTATTTGCCCAAAGATACACAAGGACTGCATAAAAGAGCTGGGGAAATTTAACACTTATCTGCGACCTCTCAGTTAAGAGTTCCTCCCACTGGATCATACTGATTTTTGAGTGATAGTACACAATTTAAATGTCTGTGTAAAATGCCTATGTATTTGTGTCGATGTTCTATAGACACACTATCTACAATTAATAACATATACAAAAGAAGAGTGAATTTTTTGCTCACCTGGACTCCTACAATCTCTTGTAGTGCCAACAACCTTGACTTTATGGTGCTGCCAGTTCCTTCCACTGGTCTGTGCATATTTTGAGACCAGAATACTCCAGCATGCACCACAGGACCACATACATTTAATGTATATGTGAATGACCTTTGAACTTTAGTATCAGGACCCCTGCTTAACCAATGAGACATTTAAAGGGTTAAAGGGACTTTCCTACCAAATCTTATTCTCCTAAACTTCTAGACTCTGGGTCATATGGGTCTTCTCATATGGCTCAATGCTTGCTCCCAGAGACTACATGGATCTAGACAAGAGTGCATTTAAATCACGTCAGAGAAGTGTGTACTCCTAGGCCCAGGGTTGCTATTAGTGGGGCATGAGGATAGGGGGAGTGGGTGTGAATGGTGCTTGGTCATGTGACTGGAATATCTATACACATGTACTCGAGGCATCCAGAAATGAAGAATGGAGCCACAAATTGGAAGAGAAGACACATGGACTGTGTGTAGGTGGTGTATCTGTTGCTTATATTATTGTCTTGGGTATAACATGAATGTTAGGGAAGGGCCTTTTTGAATGACTGAATATGTGAATAGTGAATTTTGTGAACAAGCACACTGAACACACACATATAAACATACATGCCCTTTTCTTTTTTCTTGACACTTAGTCACATGAAAAAAGTATGGCATTTTATAAAGTCGGAGCATTTAAACTCTGCTCTTGCTTACTCATCACCACTCCACTATTTGTGGCAGATCTAAGTGTGTTCTTGTGGCTACCCTGTCCTCTCTCACCTCTCTCTTTTCATTCTTTCTTTTCTTCTCCTCCTACACACACTCTAGTATGCTTATGCCCTAGCCAACTTCATTCAATCCCAAAGCATCAGTTCCCTTAAGGTGTGGACAAGTCATATGAAGAGGACCATCCAGACAGCTGAGGCCCTGAGTGTCCCCTATGAGCAGTGGAAAGCACTGAATGAGATTGATGCGGTAAGATGGAGAGGGGTGGATATCCTGGATGTGGTGGGGGTTGGCTCTAGCCTCATCCCTTGGATTTCATCTGATAAAGCTTCTGTGGGGAACCTAATTAATTCAACAAACATTACTCAACAACCAGACATGTGTCAGATATTACTTTTATCTTAAGGATCAAATGAAGACCAAAACACACAACCTAAGGATTCAAATAGGCATCATTTACTCCAGACAGATCCTGGCTAGGTCAGGTATCTAGCCCCTGCTCTGGGCACCCATAGTCTCACTCTCCAGAGTCTGTATAATGTATACTGTTTTGTATTTCTCTGTCAACCTCATTTATCCTACAAGCCCAATGAAGATGGGAACAAATCAGATTAATCTTTGTCTCTAGCGCCACCACAGAAGGTATGAACCTACTTGTCAGACACAGGTGCCTTCTCCGACATATCTACTAGCATACATACACCACACATGCACATATATACTCAGCCACAAAACACAAATATCCATGCCTAGTAACATGATGGCTGGCACACCATAGAAGCCAATGCACTCAGATTTTGTATAAAGGGACTTCAAAAAGTTGATGGAAACATTGACTTAATAAATAATAGAATTTTTCCACGAAATTTTTGAAGCCCCCTTGCATACATTACATTGACATAGAGAGATATATTGTAGATAGGTGCATAGTACAGACACATGAACTCAAGCATATTACCAAAAATTCATACATCCCTCAGACACAGGCACACAATGGCACAACACCATAGTTACTTAGATATATACCTGTGTTAGGCCAGGTTGACTACAGAAACTCAGTGACACTGGTATATGAATAAGAAAGAGCTTTATATCAAAAGGTAATTATATTTCAGGAAAAGATCCCAGCCCAGTCCAGCTCAAGTCCATAAGTCCTATAAATAAGTAAATAAGTCCCTCTTCAGACTCACACAGTTACATGCAATGATGCAGATTATAGGAATATCACAGGCCGTTGACTGAAAAATCATGTGGATCCAAGGTCAGTGGAAACATTGCAGGGCTCCAGCAGCTCTCAAGGAGGCCAGAAACCAGAAGCTTGAAGGCAGAGAGAGAGAGAGGGAGGTTCCCCTGGACCTGCCTGATGAGAAGGCCATGCCTAAAAGAAGAGTCCATCAGGCTGTGACCTGATTGACAGGGGTCCAACCTAAACATTTTTTTCCAACCTACACTTTTAAAAAATCATTTTAGGGGGCTCTATAGCTCTTATAACAACCCATACATCCATCCATTGTCTCAAGCACCTTCGTAAACATGTTGCCATCATCGTTTTCAAAGCATTTTCTATCTGCTTGAGCCCTTGATAACAGCTCCTCATTTTTATCCCCTCCTCCCCCTCCCTCCCTCATGAACCCTTGATCATATACAAATTATTTTTTTTTCATGTCTTTCACTGTCCAATGTCTCCCCCCACCTCCTTGTCTGTTGTCCATCCTCCTGGGAGGGGGTTATAGATAGGTCATTGTGATCGGTTCCTCCTTTCTCCCACCACCTTACCCTTACCCTCCTGGTATGGCCACTCTCAATATTGGTCCTGAGGAGTTTATCTGTCCTATATTCCCTGTGTTTCCAGCTCTAATCTATACCCATGTACATGCTCTGTTTTAGCCAGATTTTTAAGGTAGAAGTAGGATCATGATAGTCGGTGGGAGGTGGGGGGAAGTATTAAAGAACCAGAGGAAAGCTGTATGTTTCATCAGTGCTACACTGCACCCTCAATGGCCCGTCTTCTCCCCATGACCCTTCTGTAAGGGGGTGTCAAATTGCTTACAGGTTGGCTTGGGGCATCCACTCCACACTCGTCCCCTCATTCACATTATGTTTTTTTTGCTCTGGGTCTTTGATGCCTGATAGCTGATCCCATCAACGCCTCATGATCACACAGGCTGGTGTGCTTCTTCCATGTGGGATTTGTTGTTTCTCAGTTAGAGGCCACTTGTTTATCTTCAAGCCTTTAAGATCCCAGACGCTATATCTTTTGATAGCCGAGCACCATCGGGTTTCTTCACCATATTTGCTTATGCACTCACTTTGTCTTCAGCGATCATGCCAGGAAGGTTAGCATCTCAAGATGCCTAATTATTAGAACCAAGTGCTCTTGTGTTGAGGAAGTACTTCAGTAGATGTCCAATATCCATCTAATTCCTTAATACTAAACCTATAAATATATGCCCAAATATCTATTTCCCCATCGTCATATATAATATAAATGTATTTACCTATGTACATGCCTATATCTAGATCTCTATAAATACCCTTTGCCTCCTACTTCTTTCCTCTATTTTCTTTTACTTTCCTCTTGTCCCACTATCATGTTCAGCCTTCGTTTGGGTTTCAGTAGTTCCTCTCAGTTACATTGCCCTTGATCAAGCCCTACCAGACCTCCTACACCTCCTCGCCATTGATTTTTGATCACTTGTTTTTCCCTTGTCCCTGAGTTTGTTAACACCCACTTCCTTTCCCCTGCCTCCCCCTCTCGCATGTCCCCCCGGAACTGTCGTCCCGTTGTTCACTCTTCCGGCTTGTTATCCTGCTTATCCCATCCAGATAGATACACAGTGACAACAGCATGCACAAACACAAGACCGAGCACAAAAAAGCAACAACAGAAAATAAAATTATAGCTACAACAACAGCAACAAGGCAAAGACAAAAGAAAAATAAAAGCCTATAAATAGTTTGAAGTCTCTTTGTTGTCCTTTACCAGTATTTTCCAGTCAAGTCTGATGGGGCGCCATGCCTTGGCCCCACAGTCTATTTTTGGTGTTCCCTGGGGACTTCATTGCTCTGCTCCCTTTGCTGCTTTGTTGCACGCCCCCAGCATCTCATCTCCGTGTGGTGGGGTCAGGGCATGCACAATTTCCGCCAAGTGTTTCCATTGTTGTCCCCGTGGTGCTATGGGTCAGTGAGGAACGTCGTGTCTCCTGGAGGGGCCGGCCCTATGGTCCTCTCTGTGCATTGGTTGTGCTCAGCAGAAATATTGTCATCAGGGCTTGGTGGGCCAGGATGTGCTTCACTCTTTTTTCCTTCCCCCTCGTTTGCTCCTGTGTGCTCTGATCAGACAAGTCCCTCTCCTTGAGCTGTAGCTTCAGTTCTGTCCTTTGAAATGAATTCTTCTGGGGGGAGGGGAGCTGTCCACTTAGTTGGTAATGGGGCCAGCAACTCAGGCCTCTCTATTGGTTCCCTGCTTCATGCCAGTGTGTTGCGTTCTTGTCTTGGAGCACCGGGTTGAAGTCTGGTCCCTATGTCCCTGTGGAGATATAAACAACACTCTCCTTTTTGGTGGATTAGTGCCCTGGTCCATATGTATCCCTGGGTTTAGTCTGGCCCATGCCATATTATCTGGACCTCACCCCAGGGATGTATGTGTACAGTAGCTTCTTTCCTATACCCCTTTTGGATTTTTTGAGTTTACCTCAGCGGACTCATGTTGTATTTGTTGTTTTGTGCTTGGCTTACTTTGTTTAGCATAAATTCTTCCAGTTCTCCCCATGCGGTGGTGTGTTTTGTGCGTTCATCACTGCTTTTTAGGGATGCATAATACTCCATTGTATGTATGTACCACAGTTTTTAATCCATTTGTCTGTTGATGGAAATTTGGATTGTTTCCAACTCCTTGCAAATGTGAACTATGCCACGATGAACAATGAAGCACAGATGGCTAGTCGTGGTTTGTTTCTTGTCTCTTCTGGGTTTATGCCCAGTAGGGGGATTGCTGGATCATATGGTAACTCAATTTCCATCTGTTTCAGATATCGCCAAATCGATTTCCATAATGGCTGTACATACTTACAGGTCCACCAGCAGTGGATAAGAGTTCCTATCTGTCCACATCCCCTCCAACACTTGTTACTTTCTGATTTCTTGAATTGCGCTATCTTTGAGAGTGTTAGGTGGTATCTCATAGTTGTTTTAATTTCCATTTTTCTTATGGCTAGAGATCTGGTACATTTTCTCATCTATTTATTGGTCATTCGGATTTCTGCCCTTGAGAAACCCCTGCTCAGGTCCTTTGTCCACTTCCTAAGTGGACAATTGGTTTTTTTCTTGTTGTAAGTTGGCAGAGTATTATAGATTTTAGTATTTAGGCATTTGTATGATGTGTCATTGCTAAAGATGTTTTCCCATTCTGTGGTCTCTCTTACTACT